TGATGGTCCTCCTTGATCATGTGAGCAGCTGGTTTTGGCTGTCCGCAGCAAACTGGTTGATCCACTATGAGAAGGTGCTATTTGTAAGACTGAGCTGAATACAGCTCCTCAGACTGAAGAAGTCTTTCGGATGAAAGACAAAACGTTTCTATAATTTTTTGGGTTTTGTTTTGTTTTTTGAATGTCCAGAGGACCAGACTTAACTTCTTTGGATTTTTCTCCCTGGATTATTGAGCATGCATCAGGATACATTGCATATCAATAAACTAACTGTTCTGAAAGTAGATGAAAGTAAATCCAGACAGACTATAGTCCCCATCAGTGCAGACAACATTATTTGTTACGTACTGAAGCTTAAAAGTGATCAACTTCAGTTTCTTTTAAGTAAAAATCTCAGTCTGAAAACTTGCTGTAAAAGTGTCACAATAAATTAAAGGCTCTTTATAAATACATTTAGAAGACCACGAGGAGGGAAGTGTGTCAGGAAACAGAGGGAGAAGAGGAAAGTCAAGAATGTAGGACTGAGGGTGGCAACTCTAAATGTGGGGACAAGGGCAGGCAAAGGGAGAGAGCAGGCTGACATGATGCAGAGAAGGAAGGTAGATGTTGAAGTGTCCAAGAGACCAAGTGGAAGGGCAGCAAGGCTCGAAGCACTTAAAACTGTTTTACCATGGTGTGGATAGAAAGAGAAATGGAGTAGGGGTGGTCCTGGAGTAAGAGTTGGCAAATAATGTAGTAGAGGTGCAAAGAGTGTCAGATAGAGTGATGTGCCTGAAAGTAGAAGTAGAACGTCTGATGCTAAATGTTGTCAGTGGTTATGCTCCACAGGTTGGATGCGACATGGAGGAGAAATATACATTTTGGAAGGATCTGGATGAAGTGATAGAGAGTATTCCCAGGGAGGAGTGGTTGGTGATCGGAGCAGACCTGAACGAACATGTTGGTGAAGGAAACAGAAGGGATGAGGAAGTGATGAGTAGGTTTGGCGTGAAGAGGGAAAAGCCGAAAGAAGAAGAGTACATTTTCACAACAATTTTTTCCAACGGCATACATTTCCTATAAATAAATAAAAAATGATAGTTCAAGTCACCATACATATGTAGTTTGTTAAACTGGTTGAAGTCCGTTTCGATCAATCGCTCAATCGAGCTTTAATTCTATTGCACCTGTCATACAAGTCAATTGCAATTTAAAGTGCTTTATAAAATGACTTCAAGACTTGTCTTATGTTTTAAAGCAGTAAAGTGTATTATGTCATTTGAATTATTATGAGCAGACATTAAAACAATTCATTTATGACTGTATACAAAAGATCAGTCATGCCTTCAGTCTAGTAATTTTAAGTTATACACGATCCAAATACATTTTTCTGGCTTTTTAACCATGGATAGATGTGAAGCAAAGATAATTTCACCTTTTTCCCCAAATAACCCTTCATACAAAGCACAAAATTAGGAATCAAGAAGCAATACAGTGCTACAATCTATTTTGTGCCAATGATACCTCTGAACTCAGACATAAATAGGGCTCCAAAAGAACATATACATAGAGGCCTGTCTTTTTTTATTTTGAGGATTAGGATGAACTTCTAACGAAAGTTGGGGGAAAAACATTGCAGCACTTAGAAATTGAAGGAAACAGGAAGAGGATTACACTATAGTATGTGTAAAAATGAGAGACTGGGAATTGAAACAAATGGCTGTAGCATTGTATGCCTCTCTGCAGTCACTGAGGGCCAATTACCCTGGCAGATACTCTGTAACCTTTAACAGTGTCTAAATAAGGTAGATTCCTGAGGTAAATAAGTAGTGTCGCTCAGTGGACATACGGTAATTGCTGCTGAGTCCGTCTTACTGGAAACCGTCAACCAAGAAACTTGTTAGGTTTTTAAAAATGAAAGACGCTGGAAGAATCAACACAAAACTGCAACACAATGACAGTGTTGTGTCATCTGATATTACAAATACGGTAAGACATGTTCGACTGTCTAAACGTGTGACTGCTATGCAGAGAAGCAATTTAAAAATATAGAACAAAAATTTTGATGCAGATTTCTCAATGTTCAGCTAAATTGCGATGCAATAACCAAAAAAAGGCTCGACATTTTAATTTACAAGTTGATTAAATGTTGTATTATTTTGTGTTATAAACTAATTTAGTGGATTGCAGGAGCTAGAACAGTTGATAGTTAATGTTACAAAGCTTTTTATTTCACTACTAACAAAAACACAAGTGAATATT